CCCGCTTGGTGTGTTGATAAGACCGATGCGAAGACGAAACTGCCGTCCAATCGAGCATGGAGGATAACACTTTTTGGGCGAGCAAGGCTGTGTGAAATTCAGTGGAAAACATCAGCTCTACTCACATCGTTGAGGGAAAATTGAACAACCAGTCCTTCATCGCCTTAACGTCTCGTGTAATGAAACGTCTCGTAGGTCGATTTCACAAGAACATGGCTACTGGCTTCAATTTTACTGGGACCTTCAAGTTGACACAGCCCTCGGGTCCGTCTCTTTCGGTTCACATGAAATGTATGCTGAGCCTTCGTCTCCCATGCCACATGATAGACATCATCCGATTATTTATTTGAAACAATTGGGTTTACAGGAATTCCTTTATGACTTCTGATGACACGATCCGACGAGCCGACGACTTCTTCACTCCACGAAAATCCACAATCTTTTTATTGTCAGACCAATCCACGAGTTCCCTCCAACCAATTTTCCCTTAAAACTGGCAAGTCATGTCACACTCATCATGTTATTGCAACTCATGGTCAACAACTAGTCGGGAAGACTGACTGATTCTTCTCGACAGGTAACATTAATCCAAATAAAAGCAAATATTAGTAGTTGCAAAATAATTTCCTACATCCTATTCACATCTAGCTACGCTCTGAATTCTCAGAGTTATTACAAATGGCTTTTTACTCTCATACACACAAACACAGACATGCGCACATTCATAGACCAACGGATGCACACGTGAACAAACGCAAATTCATTCACATACACATATGTACGTAACTATATATATATATATATGCATACATACATACATGCATACATACATACATGCATACATACATACATGCATACATACATACATACATACATTAGTGCTTTTCCCATGATTACATATACAATTTGAAAAAGAACTATTAAACGACTCAGATGCATAAATACACTATTTCATATTCACTTAATCCTGTATAGAGAAATGAATGTAGGCATTTTTAATTATATACTTATTTTAACCGAACAAATATAAATGAATACATAAATATCCAGGTCAACTCGCACATGCTTTCATACCAAGATAGATGAAAGTAACGAAAATGTTTTCACTTAGATACAGCATACATACATACATACATACATACATACATACATACATACATACATACATACATACATACATACATACACATATATATATATATATATATATATTGTAATCATTCATATTTACATGCATTTTTTCATGCAACTCAAATGTATGAACACACATATTCACATGTGCCTGTAGACAGATCGATAGTTGTGTTCATTGACATAAAGTAATAAAATCATTCATTACGTTTCCCAATGCATGTAATTGCGGCTACATGCAACATTTAGAGGTAAAGTTGCTTTAACTTGTGGCCAGTCGCATTCCCTTCATTGTAGACATGAAATCATTCAAGAAAGGAGAAGCCCGTGAAATAGTTGTCTTACGTTTCGGAATCTGAGCCCTTGGGCCTCGGAACTGGTCCACTCTCGTGAGCGCAATCAAGCCTTGGCTCAGTTCCTAATGACCCACAGAAATGTGTTTCTATGGCGTTGCATAACCAGTCGACACTTACCAGTTCTTGGCTTACTACAATGGCCTGCCCGGTCGACAAAATCAACCAGCAAGTATCAGGCGGCTTCAAGAATTATGTAGATTCTGAAGCTCAAGTGTACTTTCATGTGCATCTCTTCAAAAAAAAAATTAAGAGTGGTCGTGATGAGAAATCATGTGACTTTTCGAGTGCATAGCCAAGGCGCCTGCTTCGAAGTCCTTGTGTAGGCAAGGCCAGATTGCCAGAACCAGGTCAAAGCGAATCTCGAGGTTGATACAGTTACCTTTTGATGCATCCACTTGTCTACCGACATCCGCCGAAGCGATTGTGATCAGCAGAGTATGGGAGATGAGATTTCCCATTTGCTCGCATCGAGCTTTCAGCGATTTTTTGTCTTTAAAAAGCGGAAATTCGCAACTTTACCACTTTGTGCTATCCTCCATTCACACGCCAAACTGGCCTATTCCTTCCACACACACACACACACTTGTCCACTATCTTCACCATCGTGTGGCGCGTCTAATCCGCACAACTCTGCACCTTTTGCCCCAGAGCCAACCAGACGTACACGCGAATGGGAATCACCAGACGATTAGCAGAACCGAGGCCCAGCTTAGCTTCACGTGGATCTGCTGTTATCAGTCTTCTTGCAGAGGCAGAAGAGACTTTGTAAAAGGCAGAATCAGGACTGACAAGTGAGACGATAAGAGACAACAACCAAAAAGACATGAATAACGAGATAAAGTCAAGTTGGCAATTCGCCATTTATGAAGAGAAGGTTGAACAGGAGACTGTCCGCGAGAGGAGTAGTGACAAAATTGGATTATATTCTACTATAGTCACGAGGCTGTATGGTAATTGGGCAAAGTCTGTGTACATAGATGGACCAAGTATTAACACGAAGAAATGGACAGTTGGACTGGCGACCAGAAAAAGTGAGGGGACCAAAACAGAAGAGGATTGAAGTGTTGCTGAAATCGCGGAGGCTCCTTGACGAAGCCGATGTTAAATAAGCCGAATGAACTGCATACAAACAAAAATTAGGAGACAATATCACCTCTCGGACTGGGCATAACATTAAAGATGGATAGCTTGATTGTGAATAGATAGACTGGTATATTTGTATGATTCTATGTGTCTGTGTGGAGGCTGGTAGATGGTTTTAACAGAGGAGTGTGTATTGAGTCTTCTCAGCCGAGTTGAGGTCACCGCTCGCAAGTTGGTGATGTCTATGCCGGATAATATGGGCTGGACTGTTATGAGTGGGAATGGGCGAAAGGGGAAATCATGCGATAATCACAGTTGTCCGTGACTTTGGGTGACGATGTGATTTCGAGACTAGTCGGCAGCCGTTGTCTGGCTTTGGGTGGAAATGGTCGAGATGGGTTGTCGGGCAAAACTGATCTTATCAGTTCGAGTTGGGCGATCTTGGCTGGAAATGAGCAACTAAATTTGCTCGTGTCCGCTCGCCCCTCCGCTTTTCCCGCGACAGTCATAAGCTGGCCAGAGATGGGATTGCGCCCGTGGGTCTGACGCCATGGCAACTGCCTGCTGAGTCCGGGTGGGGCCGATTCAGCAAGACAAAGTGGGCCTGTATGAAGAAGCCGTTCAACATTTCGTGTGAGTGAACTCTGCATTTCGATGCACCAGCTCCTGACTTGGCCTCATCCAAAGTGGAAGAGTCTGCAATTTTTGCATTTTACCCGTTGCCATGCCATCCTGATGCCTGCCAGCCAAGTCATCGTCTCTCCCGTCCGAGCAGGAAGCTTCAACTAAACAACAAACTAAGATTGTTGGTCTCATTTTGCCCACTAGATTGGGCGCGCCGTCACATGGTCATTCCTTGCATGCATCCCCCATACAGGCTTAGTGTGAAGTGAAGTGGATGCGTTCGAGATGGAACAGCTGTTGACGTGTGCCGTGCTGTTGAATTGTAAGAAAATGCAAAAGTTAAATCAGACCTCATTACTTTGTTTGACATTGCTTTCCGCTCCTTCTCGATTGTCTGCACTTTATTGTTTTTTTATACATTTTTATAATTTTCAAAAATGCTAATTTACATAACTTTACTTTATATTCGCTATTTTCTCTTCTTTATTATTCTATTGTCTATATTCTATATCCTCTGTTTTATTTTTATTTTGAGTTTTCTTTTTGATCTTTGCCATTTTCATTGTTCAATGCTCTACTTGCAATTTTACATTTTCTTTTTACATTTCTATATGCTATTTCTCCATTCACAATCCATTTCTGGATTAGTCGACTATGTGAAATTTCCATATCCTTTTCCGAAATTAATTGATAAAATTTCCTCTAAATGCTGGTAGAAGGGATTCTTGAAACCGCTGTAGATAGTCTGTAGATTCAAGCAAAGCAGGCCTGGGTACATCGTTTGGCGGGCCAACAACAACAAAGTTCTTGTCTCGTTGCTTAGAAATGCCTCTCGCGTTTGGACAGATGAAAGTTCACCACGTCTTCTTCGGGGTGACTGGATTTTTCATACGAGCTAGATTTCAGTTTCCAGATCTGGTTGTGCTTGTAAAGTGGCAGAGTTCACACTTGGTCAAATAGTCGTGTGTTTCAGTGTGTCACAGGGCAGGTGTGATTTTCAAAGCCTCTACCAACTCATATTTAAAATAGGAAAGGTACACCGATATCTTTAATTTGTCTTAGCAATCTACAACTGGCAAGTTTTAAGTTGTCCATTTCACTTTTCGCTTCATCATAAAAGCATCCATAAAGTGATACAGCTCTACAATATTCAAGGCCTCCGAAAGATGGGTAAATATTGGGAATAAAATATTGGTGCAGTTGAGTGTGACGAAGTCTTGTTTTTTAGGTCTTGGTGGACACGATAGTTACAACTTTAGGGACTATCGTCAAGTGTATCTGAACTGTTGATGGATCAGTTTGTGAACAGCACATGTGCTCAATTTTACATTTTGACGCACCCAGTGCATGAGTATGCATGCGATAGATGAGTGTATGATGATTTATTTGAGATGGTTGATTTAAAATTTTGTCGACAAGATTTATTTTTAATAAAATTGAGTTGTTTTCTTGCAAGGAACATAATCCTTATGCCGACAATTCTCTATTACTGTGGCATTTAATCTATACTTGTGACTTGTGCTGTCGGTCTAAATTAGAGGCCGAGATGAATATCTAATTGGAGACTGAGCATAAAATAATCCCAAAATATCTGGCTTTTCTGACAGGTCTGGCGTTGAGAAAAATTGCTCTATGCTCCCACTCCATCCTGCCTCATATCCCATCCTACAGAAAGCCCCGCATTCAGACGCATCCACCGCGGACTGGCATCTTTTGTCTGCACACTCATACACACACTTACAAATATGCACGAATAAAAGCAGACTGATTTACTCACTATTGCATATAAAAATGAACGAATAGGAAAAAGCGGTATTTTCTCATTGGAACTGCATTGTTCTCATCGAAGCGAGAGCATGGATCCACTTGGTGCTTGAATAAGGCATGACATCTCATGTACATTCTCCAACCTGTCTTGGAGGTAGCTTCGGTGTGAAGTGATTACAAGGTACCGTCTAGAAGTGGAACTGTTTAGTACGAACGACTCCGCAGACGCCGAGAATCAAGCGGATCCAGAAGGCACGGATTACAGATCTCTTCCTCGAAAGGTCAAGTTGAAGTTCCTCTTTGAAGCCGGCTCTTACACTTTACTTCACAACATAGAATGGAGATGGCGTTCCAGTTATTGTTGAGCTTATTTCCATTTCGAGCGAAAGTGTTGGGTGAAGAGATTTGAAGGTCGGTCGGTTCCACCAGAAGACGACGGCCGATCCCTCTTGACCAGCTGATGCTGTTTCCTAGGCAATCTCGTTCGATTCCGGTGAAAAGGTGCTAAGTTTTCGTCCGTCATTTGACGAACATCATCTGAGCAAGTTATCATCGTCACAACCAAATTCAAGTTAACGGGTCAAGAAAACTCCGTTACTAACCAAATCACTTTACATCGGATCTTAACTCGTTAGCTTGAATTTTGTTGTCACGATGGTACCTCGCTCTGATGCTGTTCGTCACGTGACGGACGAAAGCTTAGCACCTTTTCACCGGACTCGAAGGAGATTGCGTCAGCATGAATCTTGTAGTAAAGCCAATCGACAGCTGGTCAAGAGGAATCGGCCATCGTCTTCTGGTGGAACCGAGCTTCGAATCTCTCCACGCAACACTTTCACTCGAAATGGAAGTAAGCTCAACAATTATGAAACAAGAGATTTCTCGAAGCCCAACTTTTCTTCGCACATGTTCCAGTTATTGTCAACTTGCTCCTGAGGCTGGAAAGACAAACTCCAGAAAATGCACCCACATACATGCGTTCATTCATACACACATACATGACCAAAGAGTGGAAGGACCGACGCTCTTTTCATCCTTTGGTACCCATAAGCAAGAGGTGGGAGAGCGATATTTTGCCGAGAAGCTGTGGGCAATCACCTCACCTCGAGGGCTGGTAGGAGGCCTACAATTTGTGGGAGAACTATCACACTTGGGCTTTGTGAAGTTTGCCAGTTTCTGGTCGAATTGGCACATAAAGAGTTCTGGAAACTGGAGCCAAGAGCTGGAGAAATGGATGCTTGATATTGGCATTTTTGGCTTACCTAATTTCTAGTCAAAATGTACAAAATCGAGCATAAAGT